TTCCGTGGCTCGCCGTCGACTCTACCCGCCCCGCCCCTGCCTGCGCCGCCACGCCCAGCCGGCAGCCCGCGGCCGCCCCGCCCAGACCGCACTCGGCAGTCGACGCCCGGCGCCCGTTGCGCACCCGCAGGAGGCACGCAGCCAGCCGCCCAGCCCGATTTGAGGTACGACGAGATTTCCGCCTGCTCCCCAATTTCTGTTTACTCATTACTCGGTGCTCGTCGTGCTGCCACCTGCCATTACTTCTCGTTACGAATTTAGGCTTGCTGTGCTCCTCTGTAAACTGTAACGTATCACTACTGAATTCTATCCAGGAACGTTACTACTTACTACTGAATTGGTTCAGTTTGGATCCATTTTCTGTATCCATGTGGCATCTTGAGCTGTAGTTTTCAGAAATGTTATTACTACTGAATTGTTTCAGTTTGGGTCAAACAATTGGCACATTGTTCTCACTTTTTCGATCAATAAATGTCATTGTCATATTGAAGAACAGAGTGTCAATTAGGACCACATGATTACCTATGTGTATCAAATGTGGAAGAATGAACACATGCACATAGTCTTCTTTGAACTTTTCAAGGCATTTAGGCTCTTCTTAATGCAAAATCAAGACTTATTTGAGAATTTTCCATATGTTTGTAAGATCATATCGGTCAATTTCTGTTGTGTTTTTGGCATGTCATATTTATTGTAACTTTTTTTAGGGTGGACCACCTTGTTTCAAAATCCTAGATTTGCCACTGCCGAGGCCCTACCGTTCCTCCCTATCGCCGGCGCAGAAAAAAAATTCCGGCGAGCTAGCACTGCATGCCAGCCGTGGCGAGCTTCAGGGCCCGGGCGTCTGCACCAGCACCCGAGATGCCGTCCTTCTCCTCCGGTGCTTCTCCGCAGAAGCAGCAGCATAACGCAAGGTGCCACTACCCTCGCCGCGATTTTGTTTTGTTTGTTTGATTTATTTGCTCGGGGTACTGAGCATATGCTTTTGTTGGGTTGAACAGGAGGAAGCAGCTGATTCGTCAGCAGAGGAAGTCGCTTCCCATCACGTCAGGTTAGTTTGCATGCCAAATGTTTGATTCCCTTGCGCCCTAGTTTTATTTTTTGTCTTTAGTCAAGAGATACTATTTGTTGTTGTTGATGAGCATTGTTCAGCAGTTATTGAAGAAAAATCATATAGTTATCAATAAATTTGTTGCATGACTTGGTGATTGTGGTTGCAGTGGAGAAAAGACTTGTCGATGAGGTGAGGAAGAATGACACGCTGATTGTTGTCGGCGAGACCGGTAGTGGCAAAACGACTCGTAAGTGTTTCACTGCACTCTTTTCCCCTCCCATTGCTCATTGTTTCTTGGGTCAAGCAATTTCTGAAAGACTGCAGCTCTGTGATGAATGGGATTATTGTTTGTCCATTTATGGAATTGATGTTGTTACTTGTTAGTCTGGTACTGCCTCCGTTCAGAAATAAATGGCGTGGTTTTAGTTCAAATTTAACTCATACGACATGATATAAGAGTAAGAGTGTGACTGAAGGAATATTTCATAAACACGAAATGAGGTCCCTATGCTTGAAAACCTCTTTTTTTTTCTTTGTGTCGTAGTGTTTTTATCTTACGGAAATTATTATTATGAATTGCTTGACCAGCACGGACTACATTTGCTTATGTGGTTTCTTTTGAGGAGCATTCTTTATCATTTATTGAAGAATAACCATATGGCTGTCAAGTATTTTGTTACAAAATCATACTCTTTCTTTTGTTTTGTTACGCAGAGTTGCCACAGTTTTTGTATGATGGTGGGTTTTGTCAGGATGGAAAAGTGATTGGCATCACTCAGCCTCGAAGAGTTGCAGCTGTGACAGTAGCAAAGCGTGTCGCCGAGGAATGCAATGATCAGTTGGGCAGAAAGGTTGGATACTCTATAAGATTTGATGATTCCACATCTAATGCAACAAGGATTAAGTACATGACCGATGGTTTGCTTCTAAGGTAATTTTCTCAACCATATTGTCTATTGTTTGATTATTTATGATCTACTCCCTCCGTCTCAAAATTCTTGTCTTAGATTTATCTAGATGCAGATGTATCTAACACTAAAATGTGAATAGATACATCCGTATGTGGACAAATCTAAGACAAGAATTTTGGGATGGAGGGAGTATTATTCTGTTTTATGCTAGCTCCCTGTGTCTATCTGATATTCTACCCACTTTGTTGCCTGCTGTTTGATTCTTTTCTGTAGTGTTTTGCGTAACTGTTGATTTAATGCTGTATGCTCCTATAGAGAATTGTTTCTGTTAAGCTTCATGCACTAGCCAATGCAACCAAAAGTCCGAACTGATGGAAAGGGCTAGTGCAATCCACATATACTGTTACACCCCCCCTCTCATGTGTGACGGGGAAGACAAGTCAACACGTGCAACCGGAAGAGAGCGACGGCGTGCGAAACTCACGTATGACTCAAGAGGCCTATACGTGGACACAAAGGGGGGCAACTGCAATTTTTAGATAAATTGCGCAAACCAGGACTTGAACTCAAGACCTTAGCTCCGATACCATGTTAAGCCTCATGCACTAGCCAATGCAACCAAAAGTCCGAACTGATGGAAAGGGCTAGTGCAATCCACATATACTGTAACAGTTTCAATTTTTGAAGGGTTACATCATGCAATTCTCTTATTATGTATGTAGTAGCACTTACCAGCATGATGGCTATGTCCTTGTAATGCTGTTCGAATGATATATGGATAAATCATTTATGAGTTAAAAAATCGGAGGAATGAAGGGAAAAAAAAATAGGTAGAACACACACTTCTATTTTATCTTTCTCGAGATGGGTGATGTTCTAGATCTACCAGTATTATATTCAAGCTTTCTCTCTATTTCAGTCATTTGTGACAGTAGTCATCCCTACATGTGCATGGACCTGAGACTGGCAACATAGTCTATTTCGCTCACAAAAGAAAGTCCATATATCATTTTATTTGCTTCGGAGTTGTATATTGCATTATTTCCCCACACTGTAACTTTTATTGTTGTGTTCTTTGTTTTTGAGATGTTTCTATTGAAAAACTGTTGACCAATTCATTGTTTCAGCTGTATCTTGCCATGTTATAGATGGCTAAATGTGTGGGTTCATCTCTTTCTATCTCTTTTTTTGTCTGATCTGTGAATTTACTTTTGTGATAGAAGAATTGCTTTCACTTTTGTAATAGAAGAATTGCTTTTCATTTTCAGGGAAGCCCTTTTGGATCCACTCTTGTCTAAGTATAGTGTTATAGTTGTTGACGAGGCCCACGAAAGAACTGTCCATACTGATGTATTGCTGGGTTTGTTGAAAAAAGTGCAGCATTCCCGATCTCTTCATGCGAATAAAAATGGAAAGATTTCTGACAGACCAGATCACTCTCAATCTTCTACCCTGAAGGCATGCCAGGGAATAAAGATTGCACCTCTAAAGCTGATTATTATGTCTGCCAGTCTGGATGCGAAGTGTTTTTCTGATTATTTTGGTGGCGCTAAAGCTGTACATATTCAAGGACGGCAATACCCCGTCGACACACTGTATACTTATCAGCCTGAGTCGGATTATCTAGATGCTACACTAGTTACGATCTTTCAGGTGAGCATCACCCTATTTGCATGGAAGATGTGGATGGATTGGGGAGGAGGAAAGAAAATTGGAGTCTATGTATAAACTTAAAAAGCGTTTTTGAAAGAAAAAGGCTTCCTTCAGAAACCAGGATAAGAGAATGTATCTTGTCTGGGCCTAAATTTAGTAGTATCTTCTAATTAGCAGAGCCTATTGTTTCAACTGTGACTTAATGTAGCCAGCCCTCTTTGATTATGAACTTCATGTTTGGATGTTTGCTTTCTTAGATCCATTTGGAGGAAGGACCTGGAGACATTCTTGCATTTTTAACTGGTCAAGAGGAGATTGAATCCCTAGAGAGGCTTATTCAAGAGCGTGCTCGTCAACTTCCAGCAGATAGTAGCAAGATATGGATTACACCTATCTACTCGTCTCTTCCATCAGAACAGCAAATGAATGCATTTAAGCCAGCACCTTCTGGAGCCCGGAAGGTGAACCTTTATGCTCTTTCAATGCTTACTTTTCCTTTCTTCCACTTCCAACATATTTATATGACAAATACTTTAGTTGCTGCTCTTTATATCTGTTGTAGTGCTCTGTTACTTACGTTTGGTTGAGAGTTACACTTCTGTACACAACTACTTATGTTATTGCTAATAAAACACACACATTATATTAGTCTGCAGTTGCAAAAAAAGAGGGTTGAGGGGGCAGTTAATTAGTTGTCTGCTAGACATGGAAACAAATTATGCCCATTGAGCCGGCCTTGGCTGTGGACACTTTAGCAGATTGGTGGCTGGCCAAACACAAGCAGGCTCCGAAGCAGTGGTGCAAGGACCTGGATTCCATGGTTGCTCTGCTAATTTGGTTCGTTTGGCACAAGAAAACCATGATCTATGCGCAGTCACTATGGGCATGAAGGTGGAGACGCAACGTTGGCGGAGTGCCTACAGCCTACAACTCCTGGTTGCACAAGCCACATTGGGAGTAGGCTTTTTTATTGTCCGTGTTTTTTGTGCTGTTGGCTTTTGACAGGCACTTACTACCCCCATTCCCCCCTTTCTGCCGCTATTTTTTTTGGACCCTCCCTACCTTTTTTCCTGCTTTCCATCTCATTTCTCTGGTCCTACCTTTTTTTGCGAGGCCTCTGGCCTACCTTTTACTGTACCGTGATGCTTAGTGACTTGTTTATAGGTTCTGTGAGCCGAGGCTCATTTTTGCTTGAGCTGGTTTTGTCACACTTGGTGGTGGTGTGTAGCCAACAGCCTATTACTTTTTTAGGTAGCCTTGATTTCTCGCCCTATGTTTTCCTGTATTCCTGCACCATGCAACAGATGTTGCATCTTCATCTCCAAATTCGACCTTTTGAAAGGTTCATTGAGCAATGCATTTTCTTATTACCATTTTCCATAATTTCCTTTCACTAAACATGACTGTGTAGTATGCATTATGCAAGGCTTGGAGCATTTTGCTAATGTCCAGTTTGTCTGTCAGGTAGTTCTAGCAACGAATATCGCAGAGACTTCTGTAACAATACCTGGTATTAAATATGTTATTGATCCTGGTATGGTCAAAGCACGCGCCTACAATCCTGTAACTGGAATGGAGTCCCTAATCATCATTCCTGTCTCTAAAGCACAGGCTCTTCAAAGGAGGTAGAAATTTTCAAGCAAATATAATTTTTGTGTGCTTTCTCTTACCTTTTTATTCTACCCTCAGTGGCCGTGCTGGACGTGAGGGGCCAGGGAAGTGCTTTCGGTTGTTCCAAGAATGTGAGTTCGATAAACTGGCGGAATCGACTATTCCTGAGATTAAACGATGTAACCTCGCAAATGTTGTACTACAACTCAAAGCTCTTGGGATTGATGACATCATAGGTTTCGATTTTATGGAGAAACCATCAAGGTGAGTTTTCGTACTTCTGTTTTCTTATTCCTGCTCATGTGTAAAACAAAATTTTGCCCCCTATCTGATTACAGTATAGTGAAGTCACTGACGTATCATGCAAAAAGTGCAATCAACATGGCAAACGATAAACTCAAAATTACTCATGAAATTTATCTGGCAATGTGTGAGCTTGATGTTTTGTTTCATGTGTTCTGCTGTGCTTAATTATATGTTAGACAATTGCTGCCTATGCATAACTCAAATATCATAGCACTGAGAAGATACACACTAGTAATTTCACTTGTAATACTGTATTTGAAATATTTCGTTATTCGTGATAATGATCCCCGCCTATGTTGTCTCAACATAGCCGGTCCCAAGCCCGGGTAAAGGAGGAGGGTTGTGATAGGCTTGGCGAGCCAACGTAAAAACTCAGCCACTCTTATGGAGATGAAACCCAAAAGATTTTCGTTGGGGCGTAACCCTCTCAGCGACGCGCCACATCGGAACCCGGGTGTGGTGGAAAGTGGGCAAGGGCCGGGCCGTCACCCCCCAAGTGGCGCGCCGTATCTTGATCCGGATACGGTGGCAAGTGAGCGAGGATCGGGTCGTCGCATCCTTAGTGGCGCGCTACATCGGCGCCCGGGTGTAGTGGAAAATGAGCAAGGGTCTTCGCATTTGACTCGACGGGTGCGAAGGGTAAGGAAGCTAGCCGAGCCTAGGAGGATTCGCTTAGGTAGCTGGAACGTAGGGTCTCTGACAGGGAAGCTTCAGGAGCTAGTTGATGTAGCGGTGAGGAGAGGTGTTGATATCCTTTGCGTCCAAGAAACCAAATGGAGAGGACAGAAGGCGAAGGAGGTGGAGGATACCGGCTTCAAGCTGTGGTACACGGGGTCGGCTGCAAACAGAAATGGCGTAGGCATCTTGATCAACAAGAGCCTCAAGTATGGAGTGGTAGACGTCAAGAGACGTGGGGACCGGATTATCTTGGTCAAGCTGGTAGTTGAGGACTTGGTTCTCAATGTTATCAGCGCGTATGCCCCGCAAGTAGGCCACAATGAGAACACCAAGAGGGAGTTCTGGGAAGGCCTGGAAGACATGGTTAGGAGTGTACCGATTGGTGAGAAGCTCTTCATAGGAGGAGACCTCAATGGCCACGTGGGTACATCTAACACAGGTTTTGAAGGGGCGCATGGGGGCTTTGGCCATGGCATCAGGAATCAAGAAGGAGAAGATGTCTTAAGCTTTGCTCTAGCCTACAACATGATTGTAGCTAACACCCTCTTTAGAAAGAGAGAATCACATCTGGTGACTTTTAGTAGTGGCCAACACTCTAGCCAGATTGATTTCATCCTCTCGAGAAGAGAAGATAGGCGTGCGTGCCTAGACTGTAAGGTGATACCTGGAGAGAGTGTTGTACCCCAGCATAAGCTGGTGGTTGCTGACTTCCGCTTTCGGATTCGTGTCCAGTGGGATAAGCGTGCCAAAGTCGCTAGAACGAAGTGGTGGAAGCTCAAGGGGGAGGTAGCTCAGGTGTTCAAGGAAAGGGTCATTAAGGAGGGCCCTTGGGAGGAAGGAGGGGATGCGGACAATGTGTGGATGAAGATGGCGACTTGCATTCGTAAGGTGGCCTCGGAGGAGTTTGGAGTGTCTAGGGGAAGGAGTAGCGAAGATAAGGATACCTGGTGGTGGAATGATGACGTCCAGAAGGCAATTAAAGAGAAGAAAGATTGCTTCAGACGCCTATACCTGGATAGGAGTGCAGACAACATAGAGAAGTACAAGATGGCGAAGAAGGCCGCAAAGCGAGCTGTTGGTGAAGCAAGGGGTCGGGCATATGAGGACCTCTACCAACGGTTAGGCACGAAGGAAGGTGAAAGGGACATCTATAAGATGGCCAAGATCCGAGAGAGGAAGACGAGGGACATTGGCCAAGTCAAATGCATCAAGGACGGAGCAGGCCAACTCTTGGTGAAGGACGAGGAGATTAAGCATAGATGGCGGGAGTACTTCGACAAGCTGTTCAATGGGGGAGAATGAGAGTTCTACCATTGAACTAGACGACTCCTTTGATGAGACCAGCATGCGTTTTGTGCGGCGAATCCAGGAGTCTGAGGTGAAGGAGGCTTTAAAAAGGATGAAAGGAGGCAAGGCGATGGGCCCTGATTGTATCCCCATTGAGGTGTGGAAAGGTCTCGGGGACATAGCAATAGTATGGCTAACCAAGCTTTTCAACCTCATTTTTCGGGCAAACAAGATGCCAGAAGAATGGAGACGGAGTATATTAGTACCAATCTTCAAGAACAAGGGGGATGTTTAGAGTTGTACTAATTACCGTGGAATTAAGCTGATGAGCCATACAATGAAGCTATGGAGAGAGTCATTGAGCACCGCTTAAGAAGAATGACAAGCGTGACCAAAAATCAGTTTGGTTTCATGCCTGGGAGGTCGACCATGGAAGCCATTTTCTTGGTACGACAACTTATGGAGAGATATAGGGAGCAAAAGAAGGACTTGCATATGGTGTTCATTGACTTGGAGAAGGCCTATGATAAGATACCGCGGAATGTCATGTGGTGGGCCTCGGAGAAACACAAAGTCCCAGCAAAGTACATTACCCTCATCAAGGACATGTACGATAATGTTGTGACAAGTGTTCGAACAAGTGATGTCGACACCGATGACTTCCCGATTAAGATAGGACTGCATAGGGGTCAGCTTTGAGCCCTTATCTTTTTGCATTGGTGATGGATGAGGTCACAAGGGATATACAAGGAGATATCCCATGGTGTATGCTCTTTGCGGATGATGTGGTGCTAGTTGACGATAGTCGGACGGGGGTAAATAGGAAGTTAGAGTTATGGAGACAAACCTTGGAATCGAAAGGGTTTAGGCTTAGTAGAACTAAAACCGAGTACATGATGTGCGGTTTCAGTACTACTAGGTGTGAGGAGGAGGAGGTTAGCCTTGATGGCCAGGTGGTACCTCGGAAGGACACCTTTCGGTATTTGGGGTCAATGTTGCAGGAGGATGGGGGTATTGATGAAGATGTGAACCATCGAATCAAAGCCGGATGGATGAAGTGGCGCCAAGCTTCTGGCATTCTTTGTGACAAGAGAGTGCCACAAAAGCTAAAAGGCAAATTCTAAAGGACGGCGGTTCGACCCGCAATGTTGTATGGCGCGGAGTGTTGGCCAACTAAAAGGCGACATGTTCAACAGTTAGGTGTGGCGGAGATGCGTATGTTGAGATGGATGTGTGGCCACACGAGGAAGGATCGAGTCCGGAATGATGATATACGAGATAGAGTTGGGGTAGCACCAATTGAGGAGAAGCTTGTCCAACATCGTCTGAGATGGTTTGGGCATATTCAGCGCAGGCCTCCAGAAGCTCCAGTGCATAGCGGACGGCTAAAGCGTGCGGAGAATGTCAAGAGAGGGCGGGGTAGACCGAATTTGACATGGGAGGAGTCCGTTAAGAGAGACCTGAAGGATTGGAGTATCACCAAAGAGCTAGCTATGGACAGGGGTGCGTGGAAGCTTGCTATCCATGTGCCAGAGCCATGAGTTGGTTGCGAGATCTTATGGGTTTCACCTCTAGCCTACCCCAACTTGTTTGGGACTAAAGGCTTTGTTGTTGTTGTTGTTGTTGTGATAATGATCCCAGCCTGCTTAAAATTTTCTGCTAAAGCAAACTTCTGTCTGGACTTGTTAAGTTGTTACGAACCTTATGATGAATGCATTCACTGGAAACTTCAACATTATTCTTTATAAGCTTTGCAGAAATCTCTAGTATAAGCTGAATAGCAAGTTGCTTTGTATGGACATCAAGTTTTGCTAATTGTGCCAAACATACTGCAGGACGTCCATTTTGAAATCATTGGAGCAATTGATTTTACTAGGAGCTTTGACTGATGATTATAAGCTGTCAGATCCAGTGGGTAAACAGATGGCTAGGCTGCCTTTAGATCCCATGTACTCCAAGGCATTGATTGTGTCGAGTGAATTCAAGTGCTTGGAAGAAATGTTGATTGTTGTTTCTATGCTTTCAGTGGAGTCAATTTTCTTCACCCCACGTGAGAAGTTGGAAGAGGTATTCTCATGAGTCCCCAGAAACTTGTTTGATGTATGTTCCACAATAGGTTCTTACTGGACATTATTTAGTTATAAGACCATTGGATGTATTTTTAAGACATAATGCCAGACCACGGAGGCAGGGAGGGTTGAAAACCCAGCAGGAACTGGATCGTTACCCGTTTTCCTGCCCTGGATGAACAGTATACTGATGGCATTTGTTTTGTTTCGGATTATTTTGTATCGATTTGAATAGTATTCGTGATCACATGTTGTTTGAAGTTGAAAATGCTAGAAAGTTTTGAATAAAATTGGGGGAATGGACTTTGGGTCCAGCCATGAGTAGTTACCATCTTATGTAGTGGGTCTCGGATTTAGTTTACTTTTATAAATGGAGTTACCACCCTGGTGCGTGACACTGCATGCTTTCCAGGTTCTTGATGAACTGGCGATCATTGATTAATTGCCAAGAATATATTTTCCTAAAACACAGCCTAAATCTCATTGAGTGTTCATGTAGTTATCAGTATTTAACTTCTGAGAAACTTGTGTTTACATTTTTCCTGCAACACTTGCTCTCATTTATCTCTATGGACTTGGGTTTCCCCTGTGGCTAGAAAGACTAGCATTCATTGCTTCTATTATTAAGTCCCCAGAGTGCAAAATTTATTGGTGCCGAAGAATTTTGTAATGGTGATTGAATCATTTTCAGAGTTATGTGGTGGAATCATATACTGTTTTATTGAAGTACCTTTAGGCTACCACCAAAATGGTACCTTTAGCCTCTAACTTATGATTTCCCATTTGCACGCCAAAGAGGAATTCTTAGGTTCAAATTGTATTTGGTTGGGCTCTTCCCCTGTTACCACCAATTAATAGTGCACTTGTCTCTTTCTTGAGGAATTACAAGTGTGTTTATTCATTGATCCTTTTACCTCAACCCATTTTCAGGCAAGAGCTGCTAGGAAGAGTTTTGAAAGCTCTGAAGGAGACCATATAACTTTGGTGAATGTATATCGAGCTGCCGCAGAATGCTTGGAAAAGAGCAAAAACGCAAATGCTAAAGAAAAGACAATGGAAAAGGCTTTGAACAGATGGTGCTTCGAAAACTTCATCAATTATCGATCTTTAAGACATGCTCGTGATGTTCACAGGTTAGTTCTTACACTATTATTGAAGGCTTAAATTGTTGGACCAGATTGGATGCATTCTCTTAAATGATGAAATGGAAAATACTATAGCTGCCGTGGGCATTGGGTGATTGTAATTCTGAAACTGTTGAATTGTGAGTATACGCACTGTTTGCCTTTTGTCAACCGCGTAAGCTCATGTTATTAGAACAAGAGGTTTCGAGTTAGAGACCCCTGCTAACGAATTTTAATTAAAAAAAATTGCACCCAGCTTGAGCACAATGGCCTTTTAGAACGTTGTTTAACAGTGCTGCAATCAGCTCGAGCATGCCATGTATTTGTAGCGTCAGCAGTCGAAATATCTGCAGGCAATTCTTTCTGTTGAATTTCTATTGCCATTCATTCTTGGACCATGAGCACATATTTAGTAATAGCTAAACCAAATACATATAGTCTTCAAAAATCTGGGAAGTGTTTCCAGTTAAGTAGCAATTTCAGATGACACAGCGAGCTGACATGGAGACGTTCTGTGTGGTGCAGCCAAATCCAGGGTCATGTCCAACAAATGGGGCTTAACCTGTCATCATGTGGAGACGACATGGTCCAGTTCCGGAGGTGCCTCACCGCTGCCTTCTTCCTGAACGCAGCAATGCGACAGCCAGATGGATCATTCAGGTACTGCTCCGATTTCATTCAGCGTGCGGTTTATCTGTGACTGTAACCCGAGAACTCTGTCACGATCTCTCCGACACACTTGGAAGTTCCAATGAGATGTATGCTAGATAATTCAATCTCTCAAGAGCTCATGGCTTGGTGCGTTGTTGGTTTTGGCAGGGCTCTCGCGACGGGGCAGAGCGTGCAGATGCACCCTTCATCGGTGCTGTTCCGGACCAAGCCGGACTGCGTCATCTTCAACGAGCTGGTCCGGACGACGCAGAACTACGTCAAGAACCTCACCCGGATCGACCCGCTGTGGCTGGCCGAGCTCGCCCCGCAGTACTACGCCACCGAAGACTAGTTTTTCTTCTTTAGCTGTAGTTCCTTGTACTAAGTTGTAACGACGACATGTAGTGGCAACCTGACGATAACGCATGATCGGAATGCCAAATGAGGTCGACGCCCGGCGGCTGTAAGGTGGGAAGAATCTTACTGCTACATGGATTTTATTGTCTTTGCAGTTATCAGCCAAACTGGGTGTGAGACCGTGAGTCGCCACTATGAATGTAGTAGTAAATTTGAAGAAAATATTAGGAAATAAAACTCTTTTTTTTGTAGCATACATGGTCGACCATTCTACTCTTGTATGTACTCCCTCCGTTTGGAATTACTTGTCTCGGAAATGGATGTATCTAGAATTAAAATATGTCTAGATACATCCGTTTCTGCGACAAGTAATTCCGAACGGAGGGAGTATGAAGCTTCACAAGATAATGACACCCGTGGCATTCTGGGCAAAAATGAAAAATCAAAGCTATATTCAAAAACCGCTACTGTTTGAAGGGATCCTAATTTTCTTCACTGGAGAATACCCCGGTGTCATTCCTTCTAGAAATTTCATACATGAGTAGAGTGGTCGACCAAGTTTGATATCCCAAGATTTCAATTCTTTCCTAGTGTTTTTTTTAATCCACTATTCATGTGAGTGCGCATGAAACCATGCCCACTTCTGTATTTTCATCTACTATAAAAGTGAGCCACAAACATAAACATGGCGTGAAATCACGATATTTTTTTGTAAGGAAATTGGTAGCTCACCTCAGCGCAGTGTGACGAGCCAGTAAGTCATCCGGAACTCGAATATGCACGGAGAGAGCAAACCGGTTCGCCTACGAGCCGATGCAGCGGTCCGACTGGGAGGCCAAAATTTCCGAGCCGTCCGATTCGCATCGTACGGGCACGTGAGCGTGGCTTGCCTAAGAGGAAAGAGATTCTGATCGGAGGAGAAAGGAAAAACGAGTCATCTCTACTCCTAATAGAGCAGTTGGTAGTCTCGCTTCCAGGTTTTTTTTCGTCCCACCACTTTCGTCCGGTTTTTTTCGTAGGTTAACCGTCGTAGATTTTTTTCGATGTTGGTTTATTATTCAACGGTTTATTTACCCCTTAGCTCTTTCCTTGCAAATCAGCACTTTCCAAATGTGCACGCAATCACGGATCTAAATTTACTAACTTATCCAAATCAACCGATACCTTCCATTATTGCAAATTTCTTTAAGAAACAAATAATAGATTTTAAGGAAACAAATAAAAGATTTTAAAGACGCATCATACTTTACTAACAATCACTAAAAATCAAATCTAAATTAATTAACCTTACCTTAAATCACTCAATCACTTTAATTAGAAAATATTTTCTTTCCTAACTGCACCCCGCTTAGTGTGCACATAACAATCCGAAGTAATTAAAGTCACATGATTGAATCCATTTATTTAGAGCGACATGATTGCGTTCCGGGATGGAGGCCATGATTTCGTCGATGTCGTTGCTACCTCCTACACTCAGGGTGTGTCGCCGAGATCGAGGCGAGCATGAGGAGCTGTGGCCACCGCCATGGTCACCCCATCGCAGGGGATGGAGCACGCCGTCGGCCTACAACTTGTGGAGATCACTGTTGCTCTTCAGGTCGCGTGGTGACCGGATCTTGCCGATGTGTCCCTCCCCGACGACCTCCTCTTCGCCCGGTTGGCTGGCATGGATCTCGCCACTACTGCCCTCAACTTCTCTGCCTCGAGCTCGACGGTCAGCCACCATGGATCCCCCAGCTGGAGGGTCACGTGAACCAGCCGTCCTCCCATGCTGCAGCGGCGAGAATGTGACATGGCTCTCCGTACACGAAGAGTGGAGTTCGGTCAAGTACTTATATACTTGGCCTCTACTGCTGATCCATGTACATGGAGAAGAACAGGCAACCACTCATTCATGCTTCGTTCCACTCTTTTGCGCTACATTACTGGAGGTGACATTTTTCTATCTCTCTATGTTGTAACAAGCCTGCTGCCTGCATAGTTAATGAATTTTTTATTTAAATTTATCGCTGCTTAGTGCTTTGTTGCAATTGTTCACCCAAGATTCTTATATATAATCTGAGCGTATGTAGGCATACTTAGCTTTGCTATTCCATTTTTTTTTGGCGCATAGAAATAAGAGTATTGTCCAGGTTAGGTATTCAATTGAGTATGGTATTTGGATTGCTATCAGAATGTCTTTTCTATGCATGTGATTTCTCATATCTGATTATAATATTTGTGAAGTCGTGCATTGCACGTGCACTTGAAAGCGGGCCCGTGGCCCGCGCTGGACGGCGCCGACGCCGACCCGAACCACCTCGTCCGCGTATTCTTGGAGTTGTGGCTGGTCGATTTACATGAAATTAATTCCCTCAATTCTGGTGGCAAATATAATACACATAATCCATATTGTTATGCATTAGCGTGTATGTGTGAAATAGATGGATTATGGTCCCGTACCAAATAAGATGGATATGTGTGTGTTAGAGCGAGAGGGAGACGGGGATAGAGAGTGAGGAAGAGGGAGGGAGAGTGTGGTTCTGTGTGTGTGAAGATTTGATGGTAAAAAAAATCGCCAATGTCGTAATATTGAACTCTTAAAGTTAATGTAGCCCCGTTGCAACGCACGGGCGTTCTTCTAGTATATACAGGAGCAGGCACCAGACAGAGACACATCTCGCTCGCTCTCGCCGCCAGACCCCGCCTCCGCAGCGCAGCCGCTCGCCGTCGCCGTCGCCGTCGCCGGAGGAGGTGCAGGAGCCATGGCGCCGGAGCCGGAGGACGACTTCCTGAACGAGAAGAACCCGAGGCCGCTCGACGAGGACGACATCGCCCTCCTCAAGACCTACGTAAGCGCCTCCCTCCCCCCCGCACCGGATCGATCCGCCCGGCGCGTCTCGGCCGGAGCTCTCCGCCGCCCGGGCTTGTTCTGGGGGCTAGGGAGTCGTGCGCCGCGTAGATCTAGCCATCTAGGGCTTTCAACTTCTGTTGTCGTGTGTATTTGGGGGAAACTGCTGGCCGCGTAGTTTGTGTCGTTACGATTTGTGCGTCGGGAATTAGGGTTTTTGACAGGGGAGAAGAATGTTTGGTTTCGATTCTCGTGGTCTACAGCGAGGCATATACCGTGTTGCTGAATTGCAGCGTCTCGATTTGGGTGGAATTTTCTAATTTTGGATGGATGGCTTCCTGCTCTTACAGGGGCTTGGGCCGTACTCGAACAGCATCAAGAAGGTCGAGAAGGAGATAAAGGAGATGGCCAAGAAGATCAATGACCTGTGCGGTACGTGCACATCCATGTGTCCTCTGACCACCCCTTAATCCTGGGTCTAGGATCAGGATGCTCAAACATATGCAGCTGCATTCCCAAGTTCTCACCAGTTTTGGCTAGTCTGATTGGTGGCTGTACTTGATTATCAGTTCTAAGTGCCTGTGCGATCCCACCTTGTTGTGTTCTATCTAGCTCATTTCACGTTTGATTTGATTTCAGGGATAAAGGAGTCTGATACTGGGTTGGCTCCACCAAGCCAGTGGGATCTTGTGTCAGATAAACAGATGATGCAGGAGGAGCAACCACTGCAGGTGAATTAGCATGATGTCCGCCTTAACCTTCTGCAGAATGCATAGAATTAGCGGTTTTGTTGTCACCTTGGTGCTTTATCATACCCTCCACGGTGAATTAATAGTCAATTAAATTCTGGTGTGAAGGTCGCTCGATGCACGAAGATCATAAGTCCAAATACTGATGATGCCAAATATGTCATCAACGTCAAACAAATTGCAAAGGTATGTCAGCACTGTACCATTTTAGCCCAATCATATCTTCTGGAGGTTGAATATTGATGATGTTGATTTTGGGGGATATTGCAGTTTGTGGTCGGCTTAGGTGACAAAGTTTCCCCAACTGATATCGAGGAAGGAATGAGAGTTGGGTAAGTTGTCTGTTATCTCCAATGAGTACATAACATCTTCCATTTGGATGATCTCAAAAAGCTTTTTGTACCTGTTATGCTTTGTGTCAACACTTGCAGTTAGAGTGTAGCTGTAATGGCGAACTCCTTTTTAACGGAAATCTAGAGTTAAGTTGTTGATAACAATAGTTTTGACTTTTGAGTGCTAAGCCACATCACTGATGTGCAATAGTGGACTGGGTACTACTTCCAAAGAAGCATCTTAATATAACCCTTCAATTGAGCTGTGGCTATCGCCTACTAGAAATGTGATTTGTAACTGGTGTTATGTACTATTGTTGTGCTTTGCGCTTGTTCTATTCCTATCGGTTCATATATAGGATCACCAAAGTTTGTTGCATAAAGCATCTTATTGTGCTTTACTTGTTCTTGAATGAGTTGCATTATATATGTTGATTCTACTCCTGTGTATTATGCAGGGTTGATCGAAACAAATACCAGATCCAAATTCCTTTGCCGCCCAAGATTGATCCAAGTGTTACAATGATGACAGTTGAAGAAAAGCCGGATGTAACATATAATGATGTTGGTGGCTGCAAGGAGCAGATTGAGAAGATGCGGGAGGTTGTGGAGCTTCCTATGCTTCACCCCGAGAAGTTCGTCAAGCTGGGTATTGATCCTCCAAAGGGAGTACTTTGCTATGGTCCTCCAGGAACTGGAAAGACTCTTCTTGCCAGGGCAGTGGCCAATCGGACCGATGCATGTTTTATCCGTGTGATAGGAAGTGAGTTGGTGCAGAAGTATGTTGGTGAAGGGGCACGGATGGTTCGTGAGCTCTTCCAGATGGCTCGGTCAAAGAAGGCATGCATTGTCTTCTTTGACGAGGTTGATGCCATTGGTGGTGCTCGGTTTGACGACGGCGCTGGGGGTGACAATGAGGTCCAGCGCACCATGCTCGAGATTGTTAATCAGCTCGATGGGTTTGATGCGAGAGGAAACATCAAGGTCCTCATGGCTACCAACAGGCCTGATACATTGGACCCGGCACTGCTGCGTCCAGGGCGGCTGGACAGGAAGGTTGAGTTTGGCTTGCCAGACCTGGAGGGCCGCACCCAGATCTTCAAGATCCACACCCGTGCGATGAACTGCGAGCGGGACATCCGGTTTGAGCTGCTGGCCCGCCTCTGCCCCAACTCCACTGGTAAGAGTCTAGTACTCTGGCATGACACGAGTCTCAGATGATCTGATCCCATCCATGCCTCGTGTGTCATGAGCAACAGTCTTCTCATGTATCCATGTATGACTCTGTGTGTTGCAACAGGTGCTGATATCCGGAGCGTCTGCACAGAGGCGGGAATGTATGCCATCCGTGCGCGCAGGAAGACCGTCACGGAGAAGGATTTCCTTGATGCAGTCAACAAGGTCATTAAGGGTTACCAAAAGTTCAGTGCCACGCCAAAGTACATGGTCTATAACTAGATAGCCTGACGTTAGCCCCCTGTGTATCTTTGCCGCTCGGGCCTTCTTCTACGGGGTGGTTGTTTGTTGCTCTGCTTTCTTTCCCTGTCCAATAGAAACTGCATCATATGTTACTGTGGACTATACCGTCGGAATATTGGAATGTCAAAATGGAAGGAAGGATGATGATGATGATGATGCCATTTTCTTCTCTCGCATGAACATTTGAGTTGTTTGATGCATCGCGTAGGTTACTTTGATTGTATGTTAATGTTGCTCTCATGCTATAGAGTCTTAGTGCCGTGATGCACCGTTGTGATGGAACGTGCAGTTTCTGCTCTCGAAAAATAGTAAAGATTACTAAAAAAACTCTGATTTTTGTGGCAATAAATATTGTTGAATGCACTCAATGTTTTATGCACATGCAAATTTCCATGAAGAAATATTTGCAAATTTGCTTATTTCTGCTTAACTCCAGGAATGTGATTTCGTCACGAAGCATTTGCACACAAGCAGAAAACTAAGCAATTTTTGTTGTAAAAATACGTATTAGATCTTATTTTCTATTTTACTATTTATAGTAACATTTAAGCTCCGGACTAGAAATCTTTCGCGTTGCCATCCACTTTGAACTTGGCAACCAACCAGAGCAAGGCGCCGCCTTAGGGGAGCTTTTTTTGTTTTTGAGCGGGAAGGCCAACTTTTTTCATTAACCAATCGGTTCATAGGGATACACAAAGGGGTCGCGGAGCACTTAGCCACAAGTGGCGACCTTGGTCTAAAAACCCGAAAATTTGGCCAAAAAATGAGCATCCGAATTCCTCGCCATACCTTCATGAATGAAATCGCAACTTGCAAACTGATGTCGACCCTGTTGGATTTCACGAATAATAGAACCATAGGGACGTGGAGTTTCTACACCCAGGAGCAAATGCCCCTGGTGTGAACAGTAACATCAAATAAATTTAAAAATAATTTAAAAAATTCTGAATTTTTTTTGTGACATACTTTCATAAATGTTTGTTGTGCATGCAAAATTTCGTCGCAAAATTACATTGGTGGAAGGTATGGTAAAAAAACAAAATCCATGCTCTGAAATTGTTACTTACAAAAGCATTTTGGAGCTTTGATTTTGTTTTTTTCGGCATGCCTTCCACAAATGTGATTTCGCAATGAAATTTTGCACGCACAACAAACATTTGTGGAAGTATGTCACAAAAAAATTCCAGAATTTTTTGAATAATTTTTCTATTTTTTTGATGTTACTGTTCACACCAGGAGCATTTGCTCCTGGGTGTAGAAATGTACTTTCGCCATACCTGCCACTATTTCTATCTTTTTTATGAAACGGGGCAACAAACTTGCCATTTTCATTGATTAAGAAAAAGAGAATTGCCTGGTTAATTAACGGAAAACCAGGCTAAAACCGATACAACCCAACCCATATGACATGGGTACCTCCGGCCAACCTGGCCATCGACATAGAACACGAAGCTGCAAAGAAGAAAGGCATCCGCCGAGGAGTCGCAAGCGTCATCGCCATCACTGGTTGCCTCGAACAGGCGACTCCGACTTCACCGTAGAGCTCCATCATCGAAGCCACACACAAACAGCTGCAGAAACCATGGCGGCACATGCCAACAGATGGCCACACGCGCAAGCGACCGACAACTCCGACTTTGACGACGAGCATCGCAAGGGAAATATGCAGGACTTGCGCCGAACGTGCCTCCGCAAACCACGGAAGAGCACCTCAGACACGCCGGGAAGAGCCGACTACCGAAGTCCACGACGCGACCCAAGCTCCTCGCGACGCCATCATCGCTGCCAAACAGAAACCAGCACCCCGCCTCAGCAAATCACGCAGCAAAGATGTCACCCATCCACGGCGAAGATGCCGCCTTCCACCGGTCTCCCAGTCGTGGCCGGCTCTGAGACAATGCCCCCAAGGAAGAGAAAGACGCGAAGAGGCCTCCATCTCCCGATCCAATAGATCTGAGGTTTCCCTCCGGAGCCAAAGCCGTGCGGAGGAGGAGCACACCTCGCCTGCGAAGCTTCCAAGAAAGACCACGTCTCCCGCGGGCGCTGCCGTCACCGGCTCCGGAGAGGACTGGAGCAAAGGATTTCTCCTGGAGATGACCACATGCAACCATCGATCGCTGCCCATCGACCACCACCTGCCGAGGCCGATCTCACTCCGGCCACGGGATCCCATGATCCATCATGACCAGATACACTCACCACCCCCTGGCCGTAGCCGCCGTCCACCACCGCAGCACCATCGCGACCACCACCACCGCAGCCACCAAAGTCACAACGCGAAGTGCAGCTCCCAGATCGAAGAGCTAGTTCACACTAGATCTAGATCGGAGCCGCACGAACAGAGCAGCAGTGCAGACGAGCAGCTCCTCCACCTGCAGCGCACCTCATGCTCCAGAGCAGCACAACCGCCACGCCCGCCGTTGCCGCGCCCGGCTGTCAAACCGTGCTCCAAGCACACATCCGGAACCAAGC